TGAATTTGTTAGAAAATGTTCACATTGGTAGATAGGTGTATATTTACCTATTCAATACCGTTTTTCTACGATCAACAATGACGTTATTATGAGCAAAATACTTCAAAAATTTGAAATGCTAATCATACTCAAGGTCACTATACATACCGTGAAGGGAAAGACATTGTCTATTCTACGTGAAATATTATATATTTGAATGTCGACTTCTACTTTCCTATGTACAGTAAATTTTTGTATTTTCCTTCAGCTGTGTACAAATTAATTTCCAATTAAGTGGAACGAATCAAATCGTCAGGAAAAGATTTGTAACTTTAAAATTGAATTTCTCTCTATTTCAATTTCGAAACTTTTTGTGTCGAGTGTAACTGTAGAGAAAAACTACTGAAGCTACTTATAAGCGAAAGATCATTCAATATTCCAGCCAAACATCATTTTTTAGTCTATGAAGCTTTGAAAAACTGTGCAAGTCATTGGTGATAAGGGGGAAAATGTTTTATTGTTAGAGTTTCAGGACTCTAAACTCTGCGAGAAAAACCACTCGGATTAATCTGTTAAAAGATTACCTGCTAAAATCGTGCTCTATTTTATGTTGAATAAGGCTGTTTTATCATTTTATTCATTTTTTCGTCTTCTTCATCATTGTTTTGACCTAATGTCGAACTGTCTTCAAAGGATCCTTTATCAAAATGTTCATTATGATCGATTGAGTTAATCTGAAGACACTAGCATGAATCTATCATATCTCAGATAGATCTTTTTTCGAGATTGTGTCTCAAAAAAGATCGTTTTATTCAGAATAATTACTTCTACTCGAATATATTTTTAAATATGATATGATTATCATTCTAGTTTAAATGAATAAAGATGCATCGTGATCAAATTTAATGTGTCTAAAACCGAATAAAAAGTCATATAGCAATCAACATGTATAAGGACGTTCGATAAGACTGAAAATACAATAATAGTTACGTTTAAATACTATGAAAAGATAGAGATTTTTATCCCAATAATGAAGCATGTTTTTTGTTTGAAACAAATAAACCGTTCAGAAACGCTTCAATAGTTCTCATGTCTGTCTTTTCTTCATTTATTCAAAAATGATAACAAGAGATATCAATTTGTCGTATTAGAAACTAATAAACACTTTATAGTTAAGTCGAGTTAAAAGGTGTAATTAAATTTTTACTTGGAGAATTACTGGAGATAGGCGGTAATGAGTACAAATACATCCATCGGGAATTCTTCAATACAATTAAATAATATTAACATTAATGAAGATCATTTGTTACGTACAACGCTATTTCGTCGACGATCGAAAGGACCTGTAATGTTCAATGGTTGTAGTCCACATGGCGATGTGATCATAATCGATAATATTAGTTCGAAAAAAACGTATGATTTATCTAATTGGTTGATTGAACGTCAAGTAGACTCAAAACCAAAATTATTTTTTGATTTTCCATCTGGATTTATTATTCCACCTCAGTCAGCTGTTGAACTCTGGGCATCGGAACATTATGTTCATTCAAATAAATACGTTCAAGAAAAGAATGATGATGGACATATAATAATTCGTGTTCAAACAAAAATGAAATCGTGGAATGAAGCACGCGACTTCAGTATTACAAAACTATTTGACGCGTCTAAACGTGAACGTGCAGTTTTCACTCATCGAACATTGACGGAGGAATCGGTTAATTATGAAAATGACACCAATCTGAAAAGTTTCACTAATGAAAACTAGAACTAGTGTATTTTATTTTTATTGTTGCAATACAATTTTTCTTAAAACTATAAAAACAAACATGTCTGTGGCAAGCCCAAAGTATCTTTGTTCACCGTAATTTTCGATGACCAGAAATATTGAAGGTTGAGTCGAAATATTTTTGTCAATAGCACACCTCTCAATGAATATGCAGAACAACTGAGGAAGCGAGGAGTCTATAGATTCCCTAGCATTTGGAAAAATGTGTGGGAACAGATAGTTCAAATGAAGCGTGAATTAAAAGATTTTAAGGTATCATTAAAGTTGTAACAGTTTCGGAGACACATAATTAGATGAGAGTGAGTGAGAAAGATAACATCAAATTCAAATGCGTTTGATGCTGACTGATTGAACCTAGTCACATAATTGCTCAAACGTTACTTACCCACTGAGAATCCCCATACTTGTAGTAATTCTATCAAATCGTCGGTAGTTGTACGTAACCTTTGCTGACTACATAAATTCTAAGATCTTGGATAACCTACGTAGGGCTCTGCTGTATACTCCTGCGTCATAGAGGCGTTGCTAGACAGCCTTTTTTATAAAATTACTAACTGCTTATTTTATTAGAAATATCTCAACGCTCTAAAGCAGCGACACCATGCTCTTGAGTCCTCTGTCTAAACACTGGTCCAAGTGTTGAACTATCACTTACATCCACTGGAATTAATTTAACTCAGTTTTCTGATTTTTCAAATAAGATTTCTCTTTAAATACTGTGAGAACATATAATATTTCAGGTATTAAACTGATTTTCATTGGTTCTTGCGAAGGACTAACGAAGAGTCAGCCTTTTGCAGCTGCGTGGCGTCTACACTAATATAAATTTAAAATCTAAGAAAAGAAGAAGATTCTGTCACTCTAACTCCGCCTAGTTATAGTAACAGAATCACGGATTTTTCTCTCAATCACACACAAAAGTCTGCTACATCATTCAGCAAAGTCCATGATAGATGCGATAACGGACTTTTCAAGGCAGTGTTTCTTATGATTGGTGGTGTCTGTGAGAGCAAAGTGGTCGTCTACTTAATTTTGCAAAAGTTTCCGCCCTGTTTTACGTTTCGAAAAGGGAGAGACCACTTTGCTTTTTGAACTTTCCATTTTGTTTTTTTTCTCATCTGTACTAATTTCGTGATGATGACTAAATTTATTGGCTTAGTTCTTCCTATCACCTCATCACATAGAGAAAAAATAACAACTACCTATTTGTAACTTGCCTACACAATCTGAAAACAGTTTTACACAAAGGCTGAAATGTGTTGAAACCATTTGTCTACTTTACATCTAAGAGAAAAAAGAAAAGTGCCACTTTTGAATTTAAAAACAATGAGGCAGCTTTTTGCTCTAAAAAGAAAGATGTTATAAGAACTGCTGAACTCTCACTATGCATTTGAGGATCTGAACAAATATTTACGCTTTGAACAATACAATATTAGCTGAGATTGTTTACGCATGTTTCAGAAACTCAACGCTCATGTTATTGGTGCCACATGCTTTGTTAATTTCGTTTTAATTATTATTTAATAAATTGTAGATGGATTAACATTCATATCGTGTACCGCGACTGGAGTATTTATTTATTCATAGGTAAGAGTTTATTTATCACTGATGTAAACACCCAAATAAAATAATCCTTGAATAGATTGGCCTTGTCCTTATCATTCATGACTGGCGTATTCTCGTCAGACATTAAAAGCTTGAGTTTCTTTCCCACTGAGGTTTTTGACTGATGACCAAAATGTTTCATTTAGTTTCCATAACGTTGCCATGCAAGAATAGCGCGGCATCGATGATATTTCGCGGTGGTGTTGACTTTTTTTCACCGATTTGATGTGTATTCTTAATTTTGATTCACATAAACTAGCTATATATCTCTTTGTTTTTGTTATTCCAGCTGTTCTTGAGTGATCACTTTGTCCGTTGATATTACTTGCTATGATTCTTTTTTTATCCTTTCGACTAGATTCTAACTTTTATTCAGCGTTTTTATTTGTCAGTTCATCTAACGCTAATTCTAGCTTATTATTTCGCGTGCGAAAATATCACAGATAATATCTAGCTTTACATCATTTCGCTATGTGACAACTGTTACCTAGACACACTGTCGTTACGTTTAATTCTGTTGTATGCAATGGATCATTGTATCCATCAACGGAAATCGTTATGTATGCGCGCACATTTCACAAACAGATTTGAAGTCAAAGACACGCAAGGTTAAGTTTTGTTTGGAAAGTTTTAAATATAAAGTGAAAAACATGTTAATAAAATTCTTCTGAATTTATTTTAAACACTCGAGCTTTCGATTACAACTTAGAATCGAAAGCTCGAGTGTTTAAAATAAATTTAGACGAATTTTATTAACATGTTTTTCATAGTAGTATTATACTTTATATTTAAAACTTTATTTCCAACTTCTCATTTAAATAATTTTTTGGAAAGTTTATTTTATCTTCCATTTGTTTTATTATTTCAGCTAAATGTCGATAAAATGCTAGTAAGAAGCATTCGTTTTATTTCATCAATGTTGAAGATACAATGATCATCACGGTTTAGCTAATAAAGTATGTCTTGAAGTATGTATTGTTATTAATGGTTGTCCATTTGAATTACAAGAATTTCTTTTATACATTTCCTCGTTAACTTGTCGAACGATATACGTCGAAAAATTATCCTCAGACGTGAGTTCCATGACATTATCACCGATAAAGACACATGTGATTAGTTGTAGAAACTACTTCGAATGAAAAAGAGAAAAACAACTATAATGAATTGATTGAAAAATTTTATATTGTGTACGATTGAAGGAAATAGATGATTTAGGAGCGTTATTGAATGATACTGGTTCCGCTATGATATATTATCTATATTACGAATTATAAGTATTATGATATAACCAAACTTCTACGACAACATATGAATTGTAAGAAAAAAAATCACAATTTTATTTAACTTGTGTTCCAGTTGCATACAAAGACAACAGTAAAATAATCTAGATTTAAGTTTACTTATTCATCTAGACATATCACGCCTATTTGCTTGAAGGTGAACTCGTGGAAACGCCTCTGCTATGTCCTGGTTTAGATGGGTGACAGTCACACAAACTCTGACATTGCAAGTTGTATTATATGCAAAAATAGTTGACTGATTATCGACAATATCTCTGCAAACATTTAACAAATTTCAATTCAAATTTATGTGTATAGCAGTTGAACGTCGAAGAAATATGTTAACAATTTTATATTCAGCTCGAATTATATTATTCTAATACATTATCGAATACATGTTGAAAATTCATACGTTTAAAATGAATTTATGGTCTGAAAAAAAAATTTTAAATTTAATCGCAGGAAATAACAAATGTAGAGCTGATGAACGTTAGTTTTTCTATAGATTGACTTAGTGTACACGTCGATAAGCACTCACTTTTAGTTTTAACTGTTTTTCTTCTTACTGAGCAGACATTTTTGCCTATAAAAGTTTTTTCACGATGTCTGCAAACCTCTCCCGTCTTCCACGGCAGTGACGAGTAGAGCTTGTTTCTCGATGTGTTGCATCTCTTCAAAACTTGTTGGAACAAGGTTGGACTTTTACAGAAAAATTCTATCTTTTTTTTTCTATCATAAGAGAAAACTATTCTTTCAAATTCGTAGATTAACATAACACCCGTTACCTTCTTTCACAATGTAATAACATACCAATAAAAAGACAAAAAAAAAACTGTTCACCTGGGCAGAGGTAGGCAAGTCCGAGTATTTCCAAGTCCAAATTCAGATCCAAGTTCATAGTAGTTTCTGCCCTATGCAGTAGGCCATAGTCATATACGACGGATAAATAACTTTTATCCATACATTAGACGCATGTTTGATAAAAAAGATTAATAAATTAGATATCAAATTCTACCCATCCTGCTGTTGAATGTGATAGATTTTAACTGCTTGGACTTCAAATGAACTTGATAAAAAATCCCCAAGTTCAAGTCTGTCAAAAAAAAGCTTCAGGTTCGGACTTGGATTTACCCACTTCGGCGTCTGGATTAGAAAGAAAATGACACACTCTGTTCCGAAAACAAAAGAAGAAAATAATCTGTTCTGTTTAACACATTTTTCTCCGCCCTTGGTGACCGCGTAAACCAGAACAGTTTTCTTTATCTTCGACGGCACAGCGATACACATCTCTGTTATCGAGTTGATTTAGTTGTTCGAGAGTGTTTTGAAATTATGTTATTAATTAATACTTTAGTAATTTCATATTTTGTTTTAGATGAAAAAAAAGGCCTTATTATCTTTCATTATTCTATCTCTGTTAAATCGATACGTTTTCGGTCTTGATATCGATTATACAATTTTAATTGGAGCATCACAACATGAATGTTATCATCAAACGTTGGAGAAAGGAAATACATTAGAATTTATGTATGACGTATTCGCTGGTGGAGATTATGATATCAGTTTTTGGCTTTATTCACCTGTCAATCGTTTGATGCAATCAGATTTTAAACAGAGAGATGGTCAACACTCATTGGTTTTAGTAGAAACGGGAGATTATCGTTTTTGTTTTGATAATTCTTTTTCGAGTTTTAGTCAAAAACAGGTAATTTTAAATTTGCAAATAATATGTGTAGATTGATAATAGTTAAATTTTTAGGTTTATTTTAGTATAAGATTAGTGAATACTACTGAGGAAGATGACGAAACATGGATGGAGGATGTCCCAAAGGACGATCTTGGCGATTTACAAACGAGAACAGAAGAATTTAAAGTAAGTTATTTTTAACGAAAAATGATTACTTAATATTATCTTTATTTTTGGTTTTTAGGCTGTTTTTATGAGACTATGGGCTAATATGGAACAAATACAACGGTATTGTAGTTTCTATGATATTTATAAGCAGACAAAGTTAAATTATTTATTTTTTAGGTATCAACAATCATTTCGTAATTTTGAAGGACATGATCGTGTTATGGGCGAACATAATTTTGAACGTGTTAATTTTTGGTCAATGATTCATTTGGCAGTATTAATCAGTGTTGGTAGGTGTCTATGTGTACTTTTCATTAGTCCTAACTTGATATTGTCTTGCTTTTATTTTATAGGTTTGATTCAAGTAATAATGATAAGAAGTCTTTTTGAAGATCGCAGTCGTGTAGGCAAGATTTTACGTGGCAACAAATAACATACTCAAATAGATCAATTTTGCTATTTTTTGTTTTTTGTTTTCTAACTAGTATTAAATAATTCTTTTTTTTGGATTTTTTTCAACTAACTCATTTACGCTTAACACTTTTGTGATACATACCTAGCATGTATCGGTTTTTTTCTATCCTTTTTAGTGAATTATAGTTAGTAATTTTAGCTCGCATCTAATATTCATCTCATTGAAGTAAGAATCTCACATTTAAAGACTCACAGTCATTCTCATGCATTTAACTCGCGATTTCTCCACTTTTTTATATAACTCATTTGTCTTTCATAACAGAAGGAATATCTAAACGCAAATAAAACAACTTTCTAAAACTGAATTTTTTGACTTTATACTTGCTTTGGTCTTGCTTTGGTCTTATGTTTTTCTCCATTTTTTTTATTATTATTTTTTTCTCAGGTTGGAAATAGGTGTTATTTTGTGTTTATTTTGTTCAGAGTTTTATTTTCAACATATTGTTTTTCCTATATTTCATAAGAAAAATGTGTAGTCTTATTTTGTTTTTGTTTTTGTTTTTCGTCTAAAAATTAGAAATAAATGATATATTTATTTCATCAAAAAAATTAAAGAAAAAATCTAGCTAATATATCTTTTCATAGTGAGATAAAAAATTGACTATGGTGGCTTTAGACAATAGAATACTCGATTATTTTCCTATTGTATATTCGAATAATACGTAGGTGAAGTTTAGAATCACGTTAATATTTTTTGTGAAATATATTCGTCTTACAGCATTCATATTTACGTATTTTCATTAGAAAGTTTACAGTCAGTTATTATTTGATTATTTTATATCAGACCTCTCCTTCTCAACTTTTGTTTAAAGATTTTATTCAAATCTTGAAAAGTTCGGTACAGTTCGTACAAAACCGTCAGGATTTCCTGTTGTGTACCAAAAAAAAAAGAAAATGCACAAAACTCTCATTTTGTAGGATGTAATACGAAATACTCGCCTCGAAACCCTTTTGCAGATTTTCGTGGATGGAAAAAGGTTTTCTACACAATCATGTCCGTAGAGAACCAAAAAAGGGCTAGAAAAGATTACATTCTTGAAACTCTTTAAAGGTTCTATAGGGCCACTTTTTTTTGAGAGTAGAGAGACAACCTATACAATCAGTTCTGAAAGAATAATTATATCTAAAGATCTAATATAATGACAGTTCTATCCTTCAAGTTTAAACTAGATCGCAAGTTGTCTTATTTCTTGAAACATCTGTAATAGTTAGTTAAACTTCAAAACTAAAGATGCTTATTATTTTCTTTTCGATCGTGTCTACATTTTGTGTATGTTTGACTACTATTACTGACTTAATTTTTTAAGAGAAAAAAACAGGAATGTAGCAAAGAATTGATGAACTATATTATATTTGTTTGTTTCTTAAGATTAATTTTTTTTAAAAGAACTTGATGTGCTTTGTCCTGTCTATCTACCTTACGTAATGATAAACAACTCGTGTGCACATTATTATTATTTAAATACTTTATAAACAGTATATAAAATGAGAAAGAAATAGTAATCATGTTTTTTCTTTGAATTTTATTCGACTTCATTCAGATTATTGTCGATTAATTATTAATTATTAAAATTTTGATGCACATGTTAATCGCGTTTCTTCAATGTTATCAATATATAGAGGTTACTTTGCTCATAGAAAATTTCCAGTTTGAATCATTTTTGGTTTTATCTTTTTGTTACAATTATCTTCTTACTTTTCTTATTAGTACCGCAAAAATCGAACTATGCAAAATGAATTACAGTCATGTTCAAAATAAAGTTTATCTCTGGATCTTGAGAACTTGTCGTTTTCGAAATTGCATTTTTTCGATATTTTTTTCAACTATAGTCGTCCTTTTAGCACAGAATTATAGAAATTTTTGTGGAAACGGGCTAAAACAGAATATCGGCTAAGGATGTGCGATAACCGGTAAATCCATTCACTGATGCTGCGATAAAAGTAAAAAAACATATACCGCTACCGCAGTAAATTTGATACGTTAAAAAATCTTTTACTGTTACCAAGTAGTAAAAAAACTATTATCGTTGATTTTTTCGGTAAACTATTTTTTACCGTTGTCTTGTTTCAATAACCGTTGTTTATGTGTTCGTTGTTTTTTTAATTTCCTTTATAAAAACAAGTAAAGATAATATTAGTCATGAACAACAATTCCAAACAATATTATTTTTTCTACGCTTCTAAAATATGGTCTATTTCAATTAATTAAAGTTTATCTTTCAGAAACATACTATAACTAAGCCCATCAGCTTTGAGATTAACACAATGTTGCATTAATCTTCCAGATAATGAAAAGAAAAAAATCTCACACAACACATTCTTTTCTTTTCTTGTCCATTTTATTTTGTTCGTAGTCAATCTGACTAGCACAATAAAAGTGACTAATGTATGATAGTATAATATCGACAACTTATATCAAAACAACCATCATAATGAACTCGAAAGTCTATTTTCATTAGAATGAAAATACGATTAGCGATCAGATCGCAATTAACAATGATACGGAATAAAGAAATAAAAAACAAGATATCAGAAATAAGTTTGGTAAAAAATACTTTACCGGAGAATAATTCGATAAAAAATATTTATCGGACCTTCAGTAAAAACATTTTTACCGCTACTGTCGTAATCTCGTTTTTTCGTAAATCATTCATCTTACCGTTATCGCGTTAAATTATCGATTATTGTACATCCTTAATAACGGCTAGGGTGCAACTTTCCTGACAGTATTTCAGCTATTGTTTTTTTTGTCATAGGTTCCTATATTTTTGCATGATGATGGTACATTAACCGCAGTTGTAATGAAAAAGATGATCCTTAGTTTTTCAAAGGTCGTCTGTCCACATACATTACCTTAGTGTTCTCAATGAGTTTCTCGACCCATACAATAGTTAGCCTTCAAACTCTGAGACAATAATCGACATATATAAATAAGTATTTCTGGAAATTTTTGCATCTTTAAGAGTGACTATTAATCGTGAAATATCTGTATTCTAGCAACTATTGAAAGACCACACTGTAAATTCATACTGTAGATAGAAAAGAATTATGTCTTCATTTTTGTACAGAGATAAACGTTTCACCTCCTTTGGATTCCATGTTATTAACATTTCACTGAAAAAAAAAACAAATCATCAAACAAGAGAGATCTATACTGATAAGGTGGTTAACATATGAATAAATCTAGATCCACGCATGATTTGAAGTTAAAACTAATTTTGAGATTCAGAAGTGAACTTTATTTTAGCCGACTTATACGCGATAGGTTGTATCAAAACTATTTTCTTTTTGTTTCGTTCATAAATGAAAAGATAAAACTATTGTTATTGATGATGATAATAATGATTTTTCTATTTGAACAAAAGTGCATTATACTGTAATTAAGATTTTTTTGCTCATTTAAAGAGAAGAAAAGAAAGATAGTTACAGTAGAGAAGAAAAGAATTTTCTTTTTTATTGGCTATGCTCGTGTTCAAATAGATACAGACACCTATCGATATAAATTGTCTCAAAAGAAAAAAAAAACAATTTTCCGACAGATACCATATAGCATAGTTCAAAGAATTTTTTGTATAAGAGAAAGGATGATTTGGTTTGTTCAAGTTCGTATCAAAAGAGTTATATGTTATATGTGTAATATAACGAATTTTTATCATTGAGTTGAGAAAAAAAAATGGATTACAGACACTTTTGGGAGTTAGTTTTTGTTTTGTCATTCATCGTTGAAGTCAAGTATAACATATTCATACATATATACACACACACACACACACACACACACATACATACGTACATACACTTGAGGTGTGAAGAAGTCTGATCAGTTAAAGCATTTATTTAGTTAGCATTTATAGTATACATAGAACATAACACAGTACATATAAGTTAGTTATTATCAGATTGATGTGAACAAGAAGAAAAAAATACACAGACAACCGAAGTACTTATAGTGAACGATTAGTGAGTACAAATCTGACTTATTTTTTTGTACCGCCCTATACAAATATGTATGTAATCCATCCCTGTTCACCTGAGAGAATTTTTATATCAAACTTCTCGAGTTTTTTTGCTTCTTCATTAGATCTTTTGTCTTTTCTATACCGTACTCGTCATTTTGCACTTCTGTCCAAACAAATTTCATGTAATACAGTCTAAAAATCTCTATGAACCAGAAGTAAATAGTTGCAAACTAAAAAGAAAATAAATGATTTTTATTGTTATACATTTTTAATTTTATAATTTTACGATGTCGATTAAATATAAGAAAATAAAATGTTTTTGCTGCTTTTTTCTTTCTTTACTAGATTATGTCAACAATATATTACTGGAAAAATTTTCTTTTCTATTTTGTTGAAGAAAAAATAACCCTAAAAACAAGCCTGAAAACAGTTTCACATACCGAAAAGACGGGCTTATTTTCATATTATTTTGGACGAGACAAAAAACAACAGCACATTTTCTTTTTTTGACACGATATCAACCAATTAGATAATTAATGTTTGTTTAGTTAACATGTTGTATCTGTGATATATCAAAAAATAAATAAATAACTTGTCATGATGTTGACAGCACTAGAGTGTTGAGCTAATCTTTTTTTATTAATTATCATCAGAAACAAATAACGGTAATAAAAGAAGAAACAATTAGTTCATCTATGAGAAAATAAGAAGTTCAAAAGAGACTGACCTGTATTGTTTCTTATAATTTTTCAGAGCAGAACTAGTATATTTATGTAAAATAAGAATTAATATATAATTTATATCTGATAATTTCGCGTGGATCGTACGATAGTTAAGCAAATGGTTGAAAAGGTGTCTGTATATGTTTTTTGTTTAGCAAATTTTGTTTCATTTTTTTCTTTTCTCACTATTCTAATGACTACGATCTTAGTGATATTCTAGATCAGTAATCTTTTAGAGTGTAGATAAATGATAGAGAATAGGGATTGGAGACAATCGGAAGATACAAGCACTTTTTGTCTGAGTATGTGTCTAAGTTTTCAATTAATTGATATCAGTTTTGAAATTCAATTTAGCTGTCATCTTGCTCATTATGTGTTACCATTCATTACTATTGTCTATTGTACTTAGAGACACAACAGTCAGATATACAAAAACAGAGACACAACTGTCAATTTAACGAAATCAAATACTACATTGTGTTCATTTCTTTCCAACTTTTCTTCTTCTTCTTCTTCTATAACTAGTATATGTTGTAAGAAAAGAGAACTCTTTTATTTGCGTTAATCAAAGCTTGTATATACCTTATCACATATATCGATTTTAAGTATGATCGACGTGTAGTCTCTCTAGAATATTTGTACAGAAATAATATAACATATTCTCCCTTTAAATCTGTAATAGAAGATGCCATTCTTGTTTAAGAAAATTCAATCGTAGATTGGAAATAACGCATCGAAATAATACAGTTTTCCAGTAAGAAGAACGTAATATTCTGTCTCATTGCTGTTCTTTTTTTTTTTTTATAGAATTTAGTGATTTCGATATTTTTTCTTTTCAAAACGAACGAAGCAAAAAAAGAAGACCTCAACATGCATATGTTTGTATAAAACAAACAACTTTTGTATGTTGCAGACTTTATTTTTTAAACGGTTCATATGTCTGAAAATAGACTTGTTGGCTTTTCTCGGCGTAAATCTGATGTGTGTGTGTATGTGTGTGTAACAAATATGATTTATTCATAAAATCTATGTTGTTATTTTGTAAACCTTGTGTTGTTCTTTTTCCATTCAATTTGATGTACTTTTTGATATTTTCAATAGGATCAAAAGTGCAAATAAACAATTTTATCTCGAAACTACTTTATCCTCATCATTTCTTCTTTTTTTTTGCTTTCAGATACTATTTTTTTATCCTTTCTCGGATGTCGAACGGTGAGAGAGACAATGAAAATCATCCACGTCCACGTTTATGTCATTTAAGACGTTGGGGTCACTTTGCTGGATATGGTTTTAATTTACACTGTGAAAAGTCAAAACCCGGTCAGTTTATAGGCAAAGTATGTTGAAATAACTAAAACTTTTTATTTTTGAAAAAGATATTCATTATTAATGATTGATTATTAGGTTGATCCAAAAAGTCCAGCTGAAGCAGCAGGTCTACGTGAACATGATCGAATTGTTGAAGTAAATTTTGTTAATATTGGAAATGAAAATCATAAACAAGTTGTAACACGCATAAAAGAAGGTGTATCGCGAGATGGAACAAAATATCCGGATGAAGTTATATTACTCGTATTAGATAATGATGCTGATAGATATTATAAAAGTAAAAATATTGTTGTAAGAGGAAATGATCCAAATGTTGAAAAAATTGAAACACCAATAAAAAATCAAGGTTTGTATGAATATTAGTAAACATAATAAAGAACTTTATACTATTTTATTTCTATTTTTAGAAATGAATATTAACACACCATCACCTTACTATAACAGTAATCCTTCTGAATCATCAATAGTTTTACCAACAAAAAATAATTACACAAAAAATGCTGATTTTACAACTACAACAGTCACACGAACACAAGTAAAGTTATATAACTTGTTCATTCATATTTAAAAATAAATTTCAATATATTTTTTGTACAGTATGATTCATCACCATCATCAACAAAATCGAACAATCAAGATAATAATTATAAAGAATCATCGTCACCAAAAATACCTCAAAAACAATATAACGAAGTGTTCATGACAACATCGGATCAAAAACTAAATGACAATACGAATGGTCGATATCATAATGTAAATAATGAACCAAAACATAGTGTTACTCACAGAGAACACTCAGATAACACCGTCTTACCAGAATTAGGTATTTATGTTTGAGAAAATTCTCAGTTTAATTAAATGTAATATATTTTCTTTTAAATTTATAGAATTGTCGGTTGCAGAATTTCGTGAACAGTTAAAAGCAACAAATAAACGAGATAAAGATCCAAGAAAACAGCAAATGTCAATGCGTGAAAAACTTGACATGATTAACAGTATGTAATATGAATTCGTATTTAACTGATCTATTTTTTATATATTAAAAAGAAATTCGTCGTATTTTCCAATTGTCTCTATAAAACGTTTGGATCTATCTGAAAACTGGTACTTGAATAAAAAGAAATAGCATAATAGATCAATTTCTGCAAATGATGATTATAATTGTTTCTATTCTGTCCGCTGATCGATTTGCAGATATAGAATATCTTATCAGCAATTTTTAGTATACTAAAGATAGTAGATGTTTCTTTCATTGATTTCATCTTTTGTTTATCTGTTTTGTACAAACTCCGTCGAATGAAACTTAACCGTCCTTATCTTTTTAGTTTCTTTTTTTAGTTATGTATACTAATTTTGTGTATAGTAATTTTTCTTATTTTTGTGTCTTTTTGCTGCTAACAAAGACAAAAAGTCAAAATATTGAAAGTTGTAAGCATAGCATCACGTAAGCGGCACAGTACAAGACAAAAACAGTGATAAAAACTTCTTTTTTTTCTCGTTTAAATTAACTCTCAAAAATCAGACATGGTGATGTTTGTTAAACTTCGTTTTTCTTTTTCTTCTTCTTGTTAACGATTTTCATATATCATCCACATTTTTTTCTTTGTTTTTATATGTCAGTTACATATTTTCCAAAAAACATAATGTCCAAAATACATTTTTTTTTCGTGTTTTATGATTTCTTTTAGTGTTTTTTGTTCTATTTGTTTGATTGTATTTGTGGCTAAACTAAAAGACTTAAAATAAAATGGTTTAACAACTTAATAGTTAAATATCTATTTACATTAAAGACACTGCTACAGTGGAGAGAAATGGAGTAGTTTTTTTTTTGTTTCTTTATGTGAGTTTTTTTTATTAAGCTGATTCATTCTCGTTACTTGCCTCGTCTCATGAATAATGAAACCAATAAAAGTAAATTCATCTTCGATTTGTCAACTTTATTTAGCGAATATCCATAACGATCTTAACTTAGAGACAGTACTTTGCTGATTTCTATTGATAGCAATTAGCCAGATTTGACATTTTGTATTAGACGTAATTCTATTTGTAAAATTGAAATATGTACGTAAAAAGAAAGTAACATCTGTCTGAATAGACTAAATCTCTTATTGACCTTTTCTTGAAGTGAGAATAGAACTATTTGTAATTAGTAATTATTTCTGTGGTCATAACAATTACACAGAACATATACTAGTAAAAGAACTAGTAATAGAAAAAGAAATATCAATTAAAATGTTATAATTTAGTAATTAACGGGAATGCTAGAATGAGACGGCATTTGACATGCCTATCTTGATGATGTGTTACGCAATTGTAAAGCAGATAGTTGTTTCCTTAAATAAGAGAAAAATGTTCGTATTTCTCCAACACCGTTACTCGTTTAATGGATTATCACAGTTTTATTTATTGCACTAGATTAAAGAAAAAGAAAAACATCGACCATGATTATCAACTATTTATTGTTTGAAAAAAATTATCCTATTATATCTTGACTGGGCGGGTGGCATATGAGTGTGTCTCATTTGAGTGCGTATTTTTTTCGAGCGTGTCATTTGAGTGCATTCTCATCTGTGTGCATATTATTTTAGTATGTCTTATCCGAACGCATTTTCAATTATATCATCCATTCTTTAAAATATTTCTATCACCACTGTTTGTTAGTAATTCTTAGTGACTAGTAATCTTTTATTTTAATTTCAAAAATAATAAAAGCTTACAAATATTTTCTAACAGCTTCATCAACGCCATACTCTTGTTGCAAAACGATATTTTGAAGATTATGATATAATGTGTGATTGAAATCGAAAGTTTTATCTTACTTGAACTTTGAACTTGTAAGAAATTCTCTCTTGTGAATAACTTTTCGTATTCAACTGAAATAACAAGGTTTCGAAACGATGTTGATGTCAGTGATTCACTTTTATTTCTTTTATGTCGATATAATGCAGACTTGACACTTTCAAAACTCGGTCGTGCAGCTGCTATTTGCAGATTAGTAATAACTTGACTAGATAACACAAAAGAAATAAAAGTGAACCACTGACATCAACATCGTTTCGAAACCTTGTTATTTCAGTTGAATACGAAAAGTTATCCACAAGAGAGAATTTCTTACAAGTTCAAAGTTCAGGTAAGATAAAACTTTGGATTTCAATCACACATTATATCATAATCTTCAAAATATCGTTTTGCAACAAGAGTATGGCGATGATGAAACTGTTAGAAAATATTTGTAAGCTTTTATTATTTTTGAAATTAAAATAAAAGATTACTAGTCACTAGGAATTACTAACAAACAGTGGTGATAGAAATATTTTAAAGAATGGATGATGTAATTGAAAATGCGTTCAGATAAGACACACTTAAAATAATATGCAGTCTGATGAAAATGCACTAAAATGAGACACACTCAGATGAACCGCACACTATCTGACTATTGCTGCTCGAGACGTTGTCGTCTTCGATAATCATTGTTCGTATTTCGCTGTTTTCCTAATGTATCATGAGATTTTGTTGATTGTCGAGAAATATTATGTGATGCATCCGACCATGGTCTTCTACATATAGCCAGATTTGGTTTTTGTTCAACTGTTGTACAATCGTGAGCTAATTCTGATAGCCACAATGATGTTTTAAATATTCGTTTAATATCATCAATATCATAATCAATTTTAACATCATTTATTTTTGCTAATATAACATTTTGTGTTTTAATATAGGGAGTATGAGCCATTAAAGTTTTAGAATTTATATCTAAATCATATCCTTGTTGATTTTCAATAATAATTTTTACACCAAAAAAATCACTATTCATACATGAATAATCATATGTACGAGTTGTTTTAACTTGAAAATAATCAAAATAATTTGTTAATTGTCTATTAAATACATATGAACCATTTTTATTCATTGTTTCATAAACACAATTAATAAGATCTAATTTATGTAAAAAATTACAACTATTATCATTGAGATTTAATTCTTCTCCATCAATTTTTCCCATACTTATTCGAATATCATAAATATCATCGTATGTTGATGGATATTGTGTATGTGTTTTACTTTTAACAATATCAATATGAGAAAATTTTGTTGAATATTTTAATATACGATGAACCGAATAATAATTATTATCATGATTTTTGACTAATTCTAAAATAAATCGTTTATTTCGATATTTTATATATAAACGATGTGTTGTTTGAATAGAATTGTTTAAACGAAAACCATTATTAAGTAATTCATTTTCAAATTTTTCTATACTATTAATACCTTTATTTTTGTTAAATGTAATTAAAAAATGTTTATCATTTGATGGTCGATATTCTTCTGTATGAAGATCAAATGCTGATAGAACAAGTGGTAATGGTTCACATTGTTGTTTTTGCCATTTATTTTGATAAATATATACTGTACCCAAACGAATTTCAATTGGAAAATATTCAAGTGTTGAATCATTTAAATTTAATTTGAAACCTTGTGCTTTTCGATCAAAATCCTGAATGAATAAATCATATAATGATAGTATATTTTCTTGAATATATTCAATATCATCTTGTGTATCTTCATCATATTCATCGGCTACTAATGGAATATAGTTAACATCTTTAGGATGAGAAATTGAAAAAGAATGTTCGGGATTTACTGTGCCATAAAATTCAACAAGATTCACTGGTGTATCATAACTAATTGCATTTTCGATAATCATGGTCGGTTGATGTTGGAAAAATATAAGTGAAGAAGAAGAAAAAAGAAAAGAAATGTCTAATTTTATAAAAGACGTGTTATCTATATATATATATATTTGAGAAAGACAATGATGACTCATAAATTATGATTAAGATGAATGAAGATACTGATAGTCATACACGTCGGTTATGGGATAGAAACGAATAAAAAATTACCAACTAACAGAAATAAACAAGTCACCTCTATTCCACTCACACCTTGACACGTAGCAAAAACGTTGCGCATGTACAAGAAAACTTTTTTACTCGTATGATGGCGACGTGATACTCAAATAGAAAGAAAATAAAAATGTGTTTTTAATTTTTTTCTGTACAGTAAATTCATTGCTCATGATATATAAATTTATTTTGAAATTATCTGCTTACTTTCACATATTAATTAAATCTTGCAAAAAAATTGAAAGTACGATAATATTCTGCTATAATGTATGTAATCCTATAGAATTATAATCAAAGTTCACTATTGCGTAACATGATTTGATTGACAATTATCAAATTTGTCTCGACATTAGTGAAGTTATGACAAAACAAAAGAGAACAATTGATAAAAACAGATTAACGACTCTCCCACTTATTATTCTTTTGAATTTACACTAAAATGATTAATTTCAGCTACATTTCGTAATGACAGTATTAGAAACCTACTTATTTCTTTTTCAAGAAGAAATGCGTATAACTCGTAAATAATACGAATCATTTATAACTTGTGACCATGTAAGATCACAAGAATGTTATAAAACGGTTAAAAGTGAAAAATGGCGTAACCTACATGAAACTGATAGACAATGTTTTGTTACTAATAGTAACATATTGAAAAAAATCAACAAAAAAATTTCATTTAAAAATGATATATTGTTCTCAATTAACTAATTTGATTCTTAGATACAACAAAGTTATCTCTGTCTAAATAGTAGAATTTCACATGTGTCTGCAATGATATAGAAACACTTCATCCCATAAATAATATTGTTCGTTTGTAATCTCTTATTCCGTAGTCTTTTTTTGTCAATGAATTAATTGAATTAAATCTGTCGTAGATGTTGGAAAAAACTAACTTATGCATATATCTTTCCACCTGTACCTTCTTTTAGATTTTAAATTTTTAAACCTATTTAAAATCAACAATGGGTATCCTTGAAAGAATAGCAGATATCGAATCTGAGATGGATCGAACTCAGAAAAATAAAGCAACAGCAAGACATTTAGGCTTATTGAAAGCACAATTAGCCAAACTAAGGTTTTATTTATTTATTTTTTTATTAATGTTTCAAATGTTTAAATGTATAATATATTTTCATGTAGACGGGAATTAATCGAACCAAAAGGTGGAGGTGGTGGTAAAGGTGAAGGCTTTGATGTAGCAAAAACGGGCGATGCAAGAATTGGATTCGTCGGTTTTCCTTCTGTAGGCAAGGTAAGAATGATGAGATATATATTTCTTGCAATAAAAGTCTCATTATTCATTAGTTATTGTTCAATTTTTAGAGTACATTATTAACAAATTTAGCTGGAGTGTATTCTGAAGTAGCTGCATATGAATTTACTACTTTAACAACTGTGCCTGGTGTTATTCGTTATAAAGGTATACAAACAAATATACGATAATTATATCGTTATAACTATACATTTTTTTTAACTTTCAAAGGTGCAAAAATTCAATTACTTGACCTTCCTGGCATCATTGAGGTAGACGTCAACTTAAAATTATTTTAAAAAGATACAATTTTTTAACATATATATCATACATTGTTCTAGGGAGCAAAAGATGGAAAAGGACGAGGTCGACAAGTCATTGCTGTTGGTAAGCTTTTAAATGACTCTCTTAAAGTATTATATATTTTGTATCAATGATTAGCGGTGACTATACAATTACAAAGATTTAAAAGGTTATTCATAGAACATTTGTTGAATATTTTCTTCTTTTTTTTTGTTTAGCTCGAACATGCAATCTAATATTTATTGTCTTAGACGTTTTGAAACCATTGATACATAAAAGATTGTTAGAGAATGAACTTGAAGGATTTGGTATACGTTTAAATAAAGAGCCACCAAATATTTATTTTAAACGTAAAGATAAAGGAGGTTTAAATTATCAAGCACTGGTACCTCAAACATTATTAGATATTGAGACAATAAAAGCCATATTGGCTGAATATAAAATACATAATGCTGACATTATATTGAGATGTGACGCAACAGAAGATGATATTATTGATATTATCGAGGGAAATCGTATTTATGTTCCAGCGATTTATGTTTTAAATAAAATTGATCAAATTTCAATTGAAGAATTAGATATTATTTATAAAATTCCGCATACTGTACCAATATCAGCTCATCATAAATGGAATTTTGATGATTTATTGGAAAAAATGTGGGTTTATTTAAAATTAGTTCGAATCTATACAAAACCAAAAGGTCAGTGGTGTTTTTCAACAATTATTTTTTGTTCATTTATCTTTACTTTGTTTAATAAATAGGTCAATTACCCGATTATCAAGCACCTGTTGTACTACTTCAAGGACACACAACTGTAGAAGATTTTTGCAATAAAATTCATCGACAATTAATGGCCGATTTCAAGTATAGTCTTGTGTGGGGTTCTTCTGTAAAACATCTACCACAAAAAGTTGGAAAAGAACATGTGTTACTTGACGAAGATGTTGTGCAAATAGTTAAAAAATCAGGCTAAACTCTGCTTATTGTTATTGATTCTTCTTTTTTCCACTAACTAAATAAACTATTTTTCGTTTATTATTTTATAATATTAAAAGACCGGCTCTATTCATGATAATTAGAAAATTTTCATCTGCCAAAATACAATTTGTCAGACTTGTTAGTTCTATAAACTGCTCGATTGATTAAAAACATATTTAATTGCTTTGTTTATGCTTTTCTCGAGCGATTATTAATTTAACTCTATTATTGTATTAGTGATTGCGATATTAACCATGGACTAAAGAAAGTTCAATAATATAAAAAGAAAAAAACGCTAAATATCTGTAGAGAAAAAAAAGAGTTTTTTCAGTTTATTTTCAATTGTTTTAAAATTTTTTTCTTTTGATAAGTAATGATAAGTGATGTTGATGATAATTCAAGGTATCGGTCTCCAATTTTGGGGCTTTACGTAGAAATATGATCAAACATAAACTAAAACTAAGTCTTCTCCCTTTCAGGACAAATTGAAAACTCAATTGAACATCTTTTTGTTTGTATCGTAAATCTCTAGTTATCAAGGAAACTGTATTACAATCGTCACTTTTTTTTGACTTACAGCAAAATGAATGTAACTCGATGAGAAAACATGATGGAGAGTACCAAACTTTAGTAAATTCGTATCTTCTCAACGGAAGGTGATAGATCGCTGGAAACCGTCTTATTTTGTCTCAAGTTTTTAACTATTGCCTTTCACCAGTTTTTCATTGTACCACAGTACAACCCCCCTTAAATTTCATTCGATCAAGTTAAAAATTTTACCAGAGGTACTCAAGGTCATTTCGCAGAGGTAATTTTTGGAAAATTTTTTTGAGACCTTTCCTAGTCGAGTTATCGGAAAAAATACTGAAAAATGTCTCAAAAATCAAGTTTTTCAATTTTAGGAACCCTATAACTCCGTAAAGAAAGGTGTAAAATAAAATTCCAAAATTATACCTCTGCGCTATGACTTTAAGTACCTCTGGTAAAATTTTGAACTCGATCGAATGAAATTTAAGGGGAGTTGTAATGTGGCACAATAAAGTCTGGTAGCAAAAAATTGTTTTCGAGAAAAAACGCATTTTGTACATAGGCCACTTTTGTCAGGGCATTTGCCGCGATGCTTATCTCTACGAAAACTCATCAGAAAATTCTAGAAAACATCTCATTTTGAAGAAAACACTTTCTTCTATCAGACTGTGTGTAAGAAAAATTTTGAATGTACAGAAAAGAAGAGAAAAATTTTTGAAACTAACAAATTGAGTTTTTTAGGCTTTGAAGGAAAAACTTCAGAAATGCATAACTTTTTGAAGAAAAGTCGTAGAGAGCTGGCAGTGGTCTCATTTTGTAGCCCACACTTTCCTCTACATTAGGGTATGCTCAGCTAAAAATCCGAAATTTTTTCAAAAAAGAGGGGGTGGGGTTACCCTTAATTTGAGATGAAAATTCAGATTGTTTTGTAGCAAATGCATGGCTCGATGATCAGATTGCTTTACGGGTGGAATGTGTTGATGATTATATTCGATTATGATTGTTGGAAGAATGTTGTTAAATGAATAACAATATTGACGTAAATAAATAACAAACGTTAGTTTGCATCAAAGAAAGGAAAAAAACTCAATTCAGTTTACTAATTTATTTCGAAGGCGTATTGAGTCATTTGTAAAATGAAATAATATTTCTGGAACACAACTCTCTATCCCATGAGTTTTTTCCTAAATAAAAGGCGATCTGGTTGTTATGATATTTGTTCAACAAATGTCCGTGGAGGAAAAGGACAATGGATATAATATTCAAGAGGGACAAAACTGCTTTGAGGATTTTGAAGATTTCAAAAGATTTGGAGGAATTTGAACAAGATTTTAAAACATTTGAAGAGATTTTAGAGATTCAAATCAGTTTTGTCTCCTTGGGTGACAAGGGAGAAAAAACTGATTTGAAGATTTGAAAGATTTGAAAAGATCTGAATTGATTTGGATTGATTTGAAACATTTGAAGAGATTTCAGAGATTCAAATCAGTTTTGTTCCCCTTGATAATATTGCAGCTTTTTTCGATTGGGAATACTGCAATATATTTTTTTGCAAATAACAAAGTGAATGCAATAAAATCAATTTAAATTTGTTAAAAATGTCTATAAATAGAAGATAATAAATTAAAATTATAGCTTATTATTAAAATTATATTATTATTATTATTAAGCAGTTAACATAGGATCAAGTAGTAAAACATTGTTCTAGATTCCAATAGATTTGGGAGAAAGAATTTCACAGGAGATCAAACAAATAGAAAATGTTAGTATAACTTTCATATTGTATCTTCGTTAAAAACCAAATATCTTTCAGTGCCAAGATTTTTCAACAGTTATGTGTATTGTCGTAAGTCGTGTACCGTTTTTATTGATATCTCTAATACTCTTCTTCAGTTTTCTCTGTCTTATACTTTGCAAAAATATTTACCAATCTCTCTAATTCTCTAGAAAGAAAAAGAAAAAGGTGTATGAAACAAAGACATTTATAACGGAGTTAAACGGAAACGGATGCATACAGTCTAAAACTAAAAGTATTAACAACAAAAGAAATGGATGAAGAAGTAGGAGTGACAAAAACAACACTACATTGGGCTGATATACTAGTATTATTGGCTTACTTTGCAATCGTTATTGGATTTGGAATATGGGTAAGAATAAGTATAAGATATTAACTAACAAAATTATCGAGAGAAACACTTTTACACTCTTTGAGTGCAACTTTGTTCACGTGCTACAGTTGAAATTATGTGAATCAAACAGATTTTTCGGTTATTTTCGCTTTTTCTCGCTTTCGTAACTCTTCGCACATAATAATGTTCATTACAGTTTTGCATCCTAAATTTCAAAACTGTAATGCACGGTGAATTAATTTTTGTGATAGATATACAACTAATTTGTAGGTTAGTAACTCAAAGCACCTTCTCACTTGTGCATAGCGATCTTGTCTAAGTCTTGTAAGCGCCATATTCAACAGCGAGTGTAATCCGACAAAAAAATCTTCTATCGGCACTTTTTCGTTAACAGTAGAACTGATGCTTATAAGCGCAACGCTCCAGTTATTACAAAATTAAGTAAGAGCAACTATAAAAAGAACTTCACGTGTGTTATGCAATAAGAGACAATAGCCATGTCCCAAAAATACGTTTTTGCATGTGATCAATACACAATTCAAAAACCTATGCACTCAAAAAACATCACGTTAGATAATCTGTGATAAATACGTTTTACACCATTTCACACGTGAAAAAACATTCATGTGTGATTAGGTGTGATTGACAACAAATTTTGCTCCAGTTACATATAATTTTCAACAGACGAAGTCTTATAATTGAAACCGTCGATTTAACTGATTTTATTAAAGTACTAGTACGTATACTAAAACGTATTGGTACGTATACTAAAACGTATTAGTACGTATACTAAAATTTCGATAAAAATACTAGAAATGATCCCGGATTTAGAAAAAAAATATTTTCGACAGAATTGATCCCGGAATAAACTAATTTTTATATTTATTGTGCAGAATTGATCCCGGAAAACTTTTTTTCTTT